GTCTTTGCCTACAGGCTATTTGTTTTTTAACTTTTTAAAAATATGCCAACTATCTCTAACAATGACCCTGACATAAGATAATTTACAAGTAGCTAATTGATTAGTTTGATAAATCAGATGGCTAGTAGGCAGTAGCAAGATCTCATGAAAGTTTCTGAATATATATTTTTTTCTCCCTTCTCCTTCTGCCTATATCTGTAGCAGATTCAGTTCCTGAGATTTAGAATAGTAGTGAGTTCTTTTGAGAAAGTACATACATCCTATTAGAGCAATTTCTTGGGGCTGCCATTCTTCTTGCTTCTATTTTATTGCTTTATTTCTTTCTTCAGTTTACTTTTTTGGTTTGTAATAAGCATCCTGTTTTCACGTCACATTTGTAGATGCTTTTCTACTTTTCTAAATGCACTGTAATTTTGGTTTATACAACTGCCCCTGGGCAGCCCTGGTGGCTTAGCGGTTTAGTGCTGCCTTCAGCCTGGGGTGTGATCCTGGAGACCCAGGATCGAGTCCTACATCGGGCTTCCTGCGTGGAGCCTGCTTCTCCCTCTGCCTGTGTCTCTGCCTCTCTTTCTGTGTCTCTCATGAATAAATAAATAAAATCTTTAAAAAAAAATACAACTGTCCCTGAAAGAAATTTTTTAATTGAATTTTCTTTCCTTTTGATAGTTTAGGTAGTCACCTTCCTTGTTTCTCCTATTGTCTAGAACTTTCTTCATTCTCTAATATGCACACATCCCAAAGAGGGCCTAGTGACAATGCATTTCCTTTCTAGAATATTTCCCAATCTCTGTCAACTGCCAGTATAGGCAAAAGAAAAAAGATTCCAGTTGTACTTAAAATGTAAAAAATGAATTTATACCAACGCAAGCACCCCTACTAAAACTATGTTCAAGGGGATTTTTTTTTTCTTTACCAATTGTGAAGATCACAAGTAGATTAAATGTAATTGGCTTTATTTTGTGTCTGATAATTTGGCATGGTTTCACAGCCTTGTCTAGAGAAGCAGAATGCTATCAGAACAAGGCCTCTTTGGTCTTTTCTGTCATTAGAAGTTACTCCAAACCAAAATCTGCAAAGAAATAACTTAATGACCTTTTATTTAAGGGATATTTTATATTTTTTAAGTGGATAAAAGAGCCTTTTCAGGGATTCCTGGTACTCAGTTGCTAAATTTGCCTGAATAAGTCAAAGCAAGATTTAATGAATATTCATGTGTTCTGTGGATTTAGGGATTTTTTTTTAAAGTTTCCTTATTATCTCTTCGTGGTAACAAGCTTTTTAAAATGGTTTCTGAAGGTTTCTAAAATGTCCCCCACAAAACCACAGCTCTACCATGGCAAACACCACTGCCTGTCAGAGACTACACTAGCTATAGACCAGCAATGTCTTAACATGATACCTGTTTCTGCTTAGTTTATTTGGAACTTTTCCAAACCTAAACACCCTGATTGGTCTCTAATTCAAGGGCAGCAAACTTTCTCTGTAAAGGTCCAGATAGTAAATATTTTTGGCTTTGTGGGTCATATATGGTCTCTGTTGCATCATATTCTTTTTTTTCACAACCCTTAAAAAAATTATTCCTTGCTCACAGACCATACTAAAACAGGACATGTTCTTAATGGATCAGGCGCTAGTTTACAGTCATTGAATGCAGACATGCAACCTGGGGGTAAGAAGGAAATTATTTGGGGCACTTGCTGCATGGAAGCCAGCAACAACTCCCTGGCTAAAGATTAGCAAGTAAAAAATATTAACTCTACCTGTTTGGTCTCTTGTTAGTTTACTTATATTTTCCATGATGGCTAAGTACTGTTTTTTTTTTCTCAAAGATAGAAAGCATAAAATAAATACCTAAAAAAGGACGAAGGAATGGGGGAAAAGGGAGACAGATGAAAGAGGAAGGGACAGCAAGAGAGGGAAAGGCAGAAAGAGTGAGCAAGAAAGCAAAAGGGAAGATAAAAGGACAAGAAGGGGAGAGAAGACAGAAAAAGAGAGAGGTAGAGAGGAGTAGGGGGTGAGGGGGCAGAAAAAAACATAGAAAAACAGAGAGAGAGCCAGAATACGGAAGCTAGTGCACAGTCTCTCCTTCTTTTCCTTAGAGCCAGGCAGCTCTTAGAGGCACCTCCCCAGCTGCTTTCAAACATTGAGGTTGCTGCCCAGCCACTGATCACCATCCCAAGAAGTGAAATGTGGGCTCCACATCTGAAAACTTCCACTTGGTTTTTCACCAAGTGAAATGGAACACGAAATTCAGGGCCCAACCAAATGGCTCATGTTTTCTTTGGGACACTTGGTCCATGTCTACCCAGGGAAAATTTTGATGTACTGACTGACTCCAGTGCATATGATTAATGTATATATAGGGCAAACCAGGATAATTCAGACCTTTTTTTCTTCCACGGCAGGTTTTCAGCCGGAATTATCTGGATGGTTGCCTCAACTCTCTACTAGGCTTTGCCAGGATAAGCACAGCCAGTGTAGTATGCAGGAGACAGGGACCACTCCCTCTATCCAAGGCTCCCTTCAACACCCACACCCTGTGCAGCTGAGCATAGTGGGATCTGTCCTGACAATCATTCCTTCTGGGACCAAATGCAAATTCTGTCTAATGAATCTCTAAGAAGCCTCCCAAACCCTAAATGTTGCATTTGGCTTAGCTGTCAAATGGCAAAATAGAATAGACAGATGAAGGAGGAGAACCATACAAATGGGAGGAAAATTTGTACCCTGTTCCCTTCCCCATTCAGGAAAGAAGATAGCAAAAGCCAGAGCCCAGAAATCCCAATCAAATTAATTGGTATGTATGTGTATAGTTTCTCTCAAGACTGTGGACACCTGGGATATAATTTTTTTCTTTAAATAGAGATATGTATAGATAGACATACATTTTGTTTTTTAAAATACAGTTAAAAAGTAAATTAGACTACATCTCAACACAGAAAAAGTGTGGCTCATAGAGGCATAGTTTATGTGACATGTGCTCCTGACAAGATTTGTACAGATCATTTTTAAAAATTAAATGAAAAGCTGCAATTAATGAAGGGAAGAATACTACTTGAAATAACCCATTGGTAAATTATTTTGTAAAGAATTCCTCTGTAAAATTAATAATTAACTCATAATTTACCTGGAAAACTGTATTTTCATGGACTCCTGCACTTATGCCATAATTCTGGGTTTGGGTTTTGTTCTGTTTTGCTTTGCTTTGTGTGGAGGGAAGGTGAAAAGAATAACAGGAAAATGCATGATAGTTTATTTTACTGTATCTTACAGATCCTACCTCTAATGATGAAGCTTCTCACATAACTTCTTTCTTTTTGGGAGCAGAGAGAAAGGAAGAAAATGAAGAGTCAGAGCTGTTGATACATTGGGATAAAATTTTTCCACTCTTTTGAAACTTTCTACCTTTCCTTCCATTCTGTTTCACCAGTTCTCTAAGTGATAATTAGAGTGATAACTTCCCCCATTGCTGCTTATGTGGTGTTTTCATTTTTCTTTGTTTTTTGTAGTTGTTTTTACTGATTTTATTTACTTTTATTTTTTTATAGATTTCAATGCTGATTTTTCCCTGAATACATAATCTCTTTCAATTCTTAAGAAGTTCCGTTTCCCCTTAGAAGTTGGCTTACTAATAGTCATTGTAACTACTGCATGAAAAAGTCCTAAAATGTATTAATTAAAAACCTAAACGATAGTAACCACAAATTGTTAAGTGGGACATTCTATGTATCTCTTTTCAAAAGTTTTTTTGTTTCTCTCTTGGGTGTGTAGGAAGTTTCCTCATTTTCACTTGTGAGAGTGTTCTTGCTGCCTGCTGGTGAAAATAAAATCCTGGAAAAGAGAGAGACCTGTAAAATATGCATCTGTAAAAGAAGTTTCTCTTTTCAAGTGGCTTGTATGGGACTGTTTGGTGGCCCCATACTATGTACTGGACGTGACTCCTTGAAAGCAGTCTGTAACCTTGGGCAAATTTGCAGTGACAAATGTTGCTATGCTTCTGTAAGCACTGCTTCTGCTACAGGGCATTGTACATGAGACAAGGCCTTGTGCTCTACTTAGTAAAGACAGCTCTCTGTTGCCGCACCTGTGTCCAAGTCCCCATTTGTTAACACATGTGTGTGTTTCCCTTTTTGGAGGATAAGACTTGGGGAAGCATGATTGCAAAAAGATTATTCCACAGAATAAATAAATCTAGAGTTAGTTGAGTGCTTTTCCACCATGAAAGAACTATGACATAATCACCGCACTCAGAATTGCTCCACAAAGTAAGGCAAAGACTTCTCAACTGATAGACTCCCACTTTACTGTTCATTCCACGCCATCCCCCACCTCTAACTTCACCCCTTTCTCTTCCTTGGAACAAAGAGCAGCTGGTTCAAATTTAACTCATGGGCACATACACACCACTTCCCTATCTCTCAGTTCAAGGGCAAAATGGAGAACCCAAGATTGCAAATAACAAGAGGTATTCTGAGAAATGAGCTATGATTCTAGAAGAGATTTTCCACTATTTCCATAACAAATATTTTTGAAGTAGTTCATATCCATATACCCCCTGATTGCTTAGTTTAAAACTAGGGGGAAAACAAAAGCAAACCCATAAATACAGTGACCTTTCATTTATTAAACAGCTCCATTTCTCTTTTCATAAATCCGATCATTACTTGTTCCCTTAGAGTACTAACCTGCAAGCCTGCCTTGAGTTAAATGATTAAATAAAAAATAGCCGAAATACACCTAAACTCTGAAAAAGTTAGAGTTTTGTATTAGTCAACAGAACACTGTAAGTAATGATGAGTGGAAAGAAAAAGTATAAGTGGAGGGATTTTTTTCATTGTTCTTTTTAAGGAGATGGACTTTATGAATATGCAACACAAGAAAAGAAAATGTGATGTACCTTAGTGAAAGACTGGCTTTTTGCTATATTAAAGTGCAAACCTAACTCTTTAAAGACTGGAAATGTCTTTGTTTTACTCTTTCTCTCTTTCTGTGATTTGTAGCATATGTTGAAGATCTCACAAGATGTGTTGAGCAAAGCAGAAGACTTATTATCGTGCTAACTCCAGACTATACTCTCAGACGAGGATGGAGTATTTTCGAATTGGAAAGCAAACTCCATAACATGCTAGTCAGTGGAGAAATCAAAGTGATTTTGATTGAGTGTACAGAATTAAAAGGAAAGATGAATTGCCTGGAAGTGGAATCACTAAAGCGCAGCATCAAACTTCTGTCCTTGATCAAGTGGAAGGGGCCCAAGAGCAGCAAATTAAATTCTAAGTTTTGGAAGCAATTAGTATATGAAATGCCCATCAAGAAAAAAGAAATGCTTTCTCGGTGCCATGTTCTGGACTCTGCAGAACAAGGACTCTTTGGAGAACTCCAGCCTATACCCTCTATTGCCATGACCAGTACCCCTGCCTCTCTGGTGTCATCTCAAGCTGATCTCCCTGATTTCCACCATTCAGATTCAATGCAAATGAGACACTGTTGCAGTGGTTATAAACACAAGATGCCAACCACCACCTTGCCGGTACCTTCCTTAGGCAACCACCACACTTACTGCAACCTGCCTCTGACACTACTCAATGGACAGCTACCCCTTAATAATACCCTGAAAGATACCCAGGCATCTCATAGGAACAGTTCCCTGCTACCTTTATCATCCAAAGAGCTTAGCTTCACCAGTGATATTTGGTAGTGAAAACTCTGAAGTCCTCTGAACAGCTATGAAGCATACAGAGTTTCTGCTTTGCCAAGCATAAAGTACACATAATAACACTGAGGTGCTGAAAAATTGTTCGAAGTAGAAGGCACAGAATCCGTTTTGTACTTAAAATTTTTGTTTACATTTCTAGAATAGTGGGGAGGGAGGGAAAGAAGAACCTGCTTTTGTAGTATAGTACCTTTTTCAATGTATAGTTTTGATTTCTTCCTGAAAATAAAAATTTAAAAACCCTCTTGTTTTAAAGTAGATTTTTATGATACCGTTTGGACTGCAAACTTAGTAGATGAGGTATCTTCCCCATATTTATAAACATTTCAATATTTACATAGTATTTGGAATAAAGAAAACTTGAAGACTTTAATTGAGTTTGAAAATTCTGAACGATGTTTAAGGGAAAGAGAGAACTTCTATAGAATAACTGAAAAATCAGGAATTATCAAGAAAGAAGTGTTGAAGCACCCCAATTAGAAGATTGTAGAAGAAGATCAGTTTAAAAAAATGTGACTAAACTGTTTGGAACTTTTTCAACATAATGGACAACTTCTCTAGACTAAATCAACAACTCATAATGACAGCTTATAGTTGTATAGGGAAGCACATCTTCTCTAGATAAACTGGTAGGTAGGCAAACAATATGCATTTCTTAAGCAAATAAATAGTCTGCTAGTTCTTTGAAGATGATTTTAAAGAACTCTTAGGGCTTTCTAGCCTACTTCAAAAGTTTTACAAATTTGAAAAGACATTTTAAGATACACATTTTATTGTTTGCTAATAATTCACATTTTGGATGTTTTTCCAAATGATCTCTTGTCCTGCTTTATACAAAGATGTGAGCATCTTCCTACTTTTTTTTTACAGCATCACTGGAGTTTGAATTTAAATAAATATTGACTGCAAGTATCAGCAGTAGAAAAGACAGAAAACAACAATACTACAGATGAAATGCAAAATGAGGGATCCCTGGGTGGCGCAGAGGTTTAGCGCCTGCCTTTGGCCCAGGGCGCGATCCTGGAGACCCAGGATTGAATCCCATGTTGGGCTCCCGGTGCATGGAGCCTGCTTCTCCCTCTGCCTATGTCTCTGCCTCTCTCTCTCTCTCTCTCTCTCTCTCTCTGACTATCATAAATAAATAAAAAATTTAAAAAAATGAATTGCAAAATGATTCAAGTTTACTAGTGGTAGAGTACCAATTGCAGTGATTCTCATCTGAAATGTAGTTGTGAAACAGACTATTATGTAGACATATAATATCTGCTTGGCCATGTGCGCAAAGTTCCTGCAGAAGTATCTCTATCCCTGGTGCTTCTAAGAGTCTATTTTATAGACTAAACTTCGCCACCCTCACATTATGACTGTGGCTGTACCACACCAGAAAAATCCCTTTGAATGATCTAAAATATTATTAATTTGCTGTAAGGATCGTGCCCTTATTCTAGTGTTTATTGTGGATTATTACTTTGTGTTCTTTCCACTCAATTTTGGTGTGTTCTCCACGAAGACGCCTGTGAGGACCAATTTTTAATCAAGGTTGATTCTGGCACCTTGCAAATGGTTCATAAATCATGTTTTTGGACAAATATAAATAAGGACTAATGTACACCGTGTGTAAAAATGAAGAATTTGCCCAGCCCTTATAAATGTGAAACTCAAATGTATACAAAATATTAGATAATGTTTTCATTATTTCTTTCAACCTCTTTACATTATTGATTCCCTGTGATCCATGGGTTTTGTTTAAAGAACTTGTTTCTCCATCACTTTTCTATATCCAGCTGCTCAGAAAATGCATTGTGTACCAACCATATGTAAAAGCTTAGCTGTGATACATGTTCATTTCATAGTGGGACAATTAGTTGCTGCTCCTTTGAAAAGTCCTGTTCAACACGTATAGGTGTTTCATAGATGTATTGTTTCCACGGAGAAAGGTGATTTTGCATCTGTAAAAATATATACAGGTATTTCGAAATGGAGATTTATCAATTCCAAACTGTTTTCCAAGTGTTATAAAGTTGTATTTACTCTTCATTGTTCTTTAATTATATGTGTAATTACTAAGTTAATAACCTGCATGAAATGAGTAGTATACCTGTTTAAGTGTCCAATTGTACTTTTTATTATTTTGTTTTTCACAGAAGCTTAGATTAATTCAAATAGAATGTTCAGTGGTATTTTTAAACTAATAGTTCTGTATTGAGCATGCCAGTTCTGAAAATATAACATGGGTCTCTCTGCTTCCTTTATTTACAATGATTAAACGTGGGTAGCAATTTGAGTTGGCTGGCCACAATGTGTCCTTTCACTACCAGTAAGTACTCAAAAACAGAGCATTCACACTTGTGCTGGGGAACTTGACAAGAAACCTTTTCTACCATTTTCAGGAACCAATGTGTACACTATCTATAAAAATTTATTTCTAGATGGCAATTCAAAATTTGATTTTCATCTGAGATTTTTTAAAGATATAGCCCACAGGGTATAATAAGCATTTAGTCTAGAACATAATATATTCTTCCACTACTTTTCACAGTAAGAAAAACTTTCTTCTCAATTTTTCACTAAAATGAATTTGAAAATTTAGAAATATACTAGTGCAATTAGTTCCTATATGTTCATAGCAAATTTATTTAGCTCATCCATCAACAGTATACATGCTTTTAAAAATTGAGGCTATTTTAAGATAAGAAAAATTCTGAAAATGTCACAAATTTTGAGACAAATGAGAAATGCACAAAAGCAATAGATACATAGGAAGTGAAAGCTGCATTAAGAATAAACAGTGCTGGGATCCCTGGGTGGCGCAGCGGTTTAGCGCCTGCCTTTGGCCCAGGGCGCGATACTGGAGACCCGGGATCGAATCCCACGTCGGGCTCCCGGTGCATGGAGCCTGCCTCTCTCTCTCTCTCTCTCTCTCTCTCTCTCTCTCTGTGTGTGTGTGACTATCATAAATAAATAAAAATTAAAAAAAAAGAAAAAAAAAAGAATAAACAGTGCTCAGGAGAAAGTCAACATGTACATAGTTTTAATTTGACAAAATATAAAATCTGTCAGGTTTGGTAATCTGTGAGCTCCAATCTAACTATGGAGATTCTGAAAAGTAGCTGGACGGTTCCTAAAAAGAAGGAAGAAGGTATGTCTCCTCACCCCCTCAAAGCCTTGATGAAATTAGATCCAAATCCATTTGGCTTTCAATCACTCTCATTAAAAAAAATGGGTACAAAGAAACCTGTGGGCTTATGGTAAGGCTTGACCCTAAGGTAGTATCATGTGAAAGGTTGATACTTTGAGTATTGGTAGCTAATATTGCAGGGCTTAAAAGTAGGAAACAAATTGCAGTGAAAGGAATAACAGTTTAGTTATGAAAGAGAAGTTTATAGAGGAGTTCCAAGAGGGCATGGAAATTATTAATATCCTATGGATTACTTTTGTAACAAGTTGAAAAATTGCAGGTGTGAGAAAGAAGCAAATTCTGGCAAAAAAAAAGGAGACTCTATGACCCACTTAGTAATTGAAGGGCTTACAAAAGTATAGAACCACTGATTTCAAGCATTTATTGCACTTTGGCATTTTATTTTTAAATAAATTATTTGGTTTTCACCAAGTATTTTCTAGAAAATTAAATGACCAGGGGAAATACCCTTAAAATTGTACATATAAATCTTTATGCTCCTTGAATTAATTTCCCAAGGTGAGGTAGTGAACTGATAAAACCAGAGTGAAGTTAAGGCAGAACATAATTCCATAGTGACCAGTTAAGATTGAACACTTGCAATTGTTGTTGCTTTTTTCTGGGAGAGAATTTCATGTTGAAAATTGTCTGGCTCAAATTTCTCTATTACTCATGCATTTTTGTTCTAAGATCTCTGATAGGAGGTTACAGTGTTGAATATTAAGACTCTCTGATGAATGTATGGGGCTAATGAACAGTAGTCATTAGCTTCAAACCTCTTCATATAAAGCTTACCTTTTTTAGAACTGAAATCAGTCATAAGCAATTTAAGATTATTCAGGATTCTATTTAATTACTGTGAGATCAGAACTTATAAAGTCACCTGCACGCATCTAAACTTGTCTTCTCAAATATTCACTGCTGTTTGATCAGTCATATTTTCTCCAGATAGTACTAAAGTCAATCATGAATATTGAGTGCCCACTGCATACTGCCCATTACATAAAGTATAATAGATACATTTTTAAAAACTTGAAGTCCCTGTTTTCAAATAGTGTACACATATATTCACAAAGAAAGGGGTATTTGCAAAACACATTCCAGTGTAGGGAAATTAATATTTTACATGCAGAATAGATAAGTGAGATAGGATGATCCAGTCCCAAACTGAGCAAGAAATGAGTTTGGAATAGAAAGAACAGTGGTGAAGAAAGGCAATTTCCTAAGTGCAGAGAATAACACATGTGAAGATTCAGGAGAAAATAAGCAAGTCCTGTTTAGCTGATAACAATTCTATTTGGCTAGCAAGAACAGAAATCTGTGTGAAGGCATAATCAGAAATAAGCATAGGAGAGGTGCTGGAACATTCATGTTGTAGCAGATGCAGGAAAAAATAAATAGGGGAAGAGAAACGTGGCAGGAAGACCAGTTGGGATGCTGTCATAGTCCACATATGAGGTGATAAAAGATGGAGAGTGGCAAACTGGATACTCTCAGAGAAGGCAAATCTGAGAAGAAAGAGGAATAGACAGGATGTGGTGAAGTGAAAAGTTGAAAATTTTAAAAAGCCAATAAAGACTTCAAGGATCATGAAAGTTAGTTGCACCAAAGGTATTTAACTTACTTTCTTTTTAAGATTTTATTTATTTATTCATGAGAGACACACAGAGAGGCAGAGACACAGGCAGAGGGAGAAGCAGGCTCCATGCAGGGAGCCCAATGTGGGATTCGATCCCTGGTCTCCAGGATTACAACCCAGGCAGAAGGTGGCGCTAAGCCGCTAAGCCACCGGGGCTGCCCATAACTT